GGGTTCTAAGATAGTCAAAGGGAGATCCCTAAGGCTAGATCTTAAATCCTAAGAGGAAGACTATACCTCACCAAAAATGAGGTCAACAATGGGTCATTTCGACGGAAGACAAGTTATGATACAGCTGAGCATAGAATATGATTACACGAGGATTTTCTCAAAGAAATTCATCACAATTGAGGGCAAACATATGAAATTGCTCAAATGGGCCCCCAATTTTGATCCCAATTTTGATCCCAGCCCCAATTTTGATCCCAGCCAAGAACCCCCAATTGCACCTATCTGGTTTTCATTACCTGAACTCAAGCTTCATTTCTTTGACCTACCTATCTTATATGCAATTAAACTATCCTTGGAAAACCTTTGCAGGTAGACTTACCAACAGTTAATTTCTCAAGGCCCTCTATTGCAAGAATTTTGATTGAACGAGATATTACACTAATTACACTACCAGATGTAGAGAGATGTAGAGGAAGTCTGGCTTGGATCTGCTCACAATGGTTATTGACAAAAAATAATTATGAAACAAAAATCATACTATTGCAAACACTGCAAGATGTTTGGACACCCGCAGAAAAAATGTTTCAGATTGCACCCACAGTAGAGAACCAATAGTCAAAAGCAGAAACAAATTATTAGCGCACCCCATGTGCTTGAACGCTCTCCCAACAAACCTGATGACAACCAACCTGAGGAGGGAATCACCACAAGACAGGAGTTGGTGTCTGCCTCTATGATCCTCTCTGGGATCTCTTCTCCTGACCATACTACAGCGGATAATGTTCGAACTGAAAATTAGGATAGTCCCGCAGCTCCTATTCAGGAAGCATCAGGTGCAGATGTAACAATTCACACTTCACATATACTGAAACCTATCGCGGTGGCAATGACTGTCTTTCCTCCTGCTGAGGTGCTAACATCAAATCAGATTGAGGATCACATGAGCCAGTCTTCTGATAAAGAATAACAGGTTTACACTTCTTGGCGGGAGAAGAAGGCGGAAGAAGTGGCGGAAGAAGAAGACTGGGGGCTCACTCCAACTTGGAAACTTAATGGATGATACTTTGATGACTCCTGACAATGACACAACTCTTCAAAGTTTGTTATCTGGTTCTGCTCCTAAAACTAGAGGAAGAGACAAGACTAAACTGGCCCGTCCCTAGCTACTTGTTTTCTGCATGTTTTAAATTTATTTTACATTTTATTGAGTCTATCTGTATCTTTTTGTTGGGGTGTTACTGTATTTGTAACGTATGGCAGGATGCCTTTTTTGGGCTCTTCTCATACAACCTATCTGTACTCTTTTCTCTTTAATATAATTGCCCTTGGGATTTTTTAGTTTATATATATATATAATAACAAAGACTAAGGGCAATTATATTAAAGAGAAAAGAGTACAGATAGGTTGTATGAGTGGACCCAAATAAGCACCTAACTCACACGGTACTACACACAAAAAGAAAAAATAAAATTAAAAACCCAAAAGAAGATACATATAAGATCAATCGGGTCGACCCAATTTAGTTCTGTCTCTGCCTCTAGTTCTCGGAAGGGAATGAGCTAACAAATTGGTGAGAAGCGTATCATTACCCGAAGTAACCAAAGAATCATCCATTAGATTCATTAGCTCAAGTAGATCTTCATTCTTCTTCTTCCTCCTAAAAGTGTAGACCTGTCATTCCTCATCCGAAAATTGTTGCTTATTTGGATGAGATGGTAGTGCAGCAGCAGAAAGATTGCCAACAGTTGTGTCCACAAGAGGTTCAAATGTTTGTGAGGTAAGAGTTGTCGCCTCTACCCCTGATACTTCCTGAAGATGGGGAGCTGCAAGGTTCTCATGATTTTCAAACCGTGTAGGTAGGGCCCATCAGTATAGTTTTCAATAGAGTTTGAAAGTGTAGGTTGTTCAGCAGAGCCATCCAGCTTCTCATCGATCACAGAAACAGTATTTTCAAGGGGAGGGTCCACAGGGGCAATAAAATCAAACACCAAATCCTATCCTGTGGTAGTTTTCTCTCTAGTTTTCTCTCCAGGTGGAACATAGGTGGAACATATATATCCTTAGATCCATCCTTATTCACTTGATCTTTAGATTGGTCGACGGTCGGAGAACGCCGATAAACCCCTATAGGTTGGACTGACCGAGGGGCAGACCCCGCTTTCAGTCCTTGTGCAATTTGAATCCTCCAGAAAGGGCTGAGATTTGAAACCCCGACCTAAGGATCTTACGCCAAATGCCGCTACCAATGAGTCAGGGCTCGCGCGGGCGCAAGGAGTGAAAAAAGTATGCTGAAATTCTTAATCTCATTGTTGTATTCTCGTTGTTGTCACCTCTTTGCATGCAAAGGTAAATAAATGTAGAAAAATTATAAGTACTTGTTCGATTTGTCTGAACCCAGTGAGGAAATTGTGCTTGCACCACTATCTATTAGATAATTGATGACCCATATGCACCTTATAGATTAGTGGATTAGAGGACCTTTTTTCTACCATGGCGTCTCATGACACTAAACATGCACGTCTTATAAATTGACTGGACACTCTCCTTAATTCCCCTAAGCGGAGGAGATGCTGGGAAATGATCTTGAACTTGCAAATGACCTAAATTTAAACTATTTTGACTATTTAGAATTAAAAAATAAAAACGATCACTTTAATCATCATTCAAGTGTAAAACTTAAATAGTCTAGACTTGTATAAAAGACATAGAAAACTTAATAGTTTATCAATAAATGTGAATAAATATCTCATCAATTTAAAAAAAAATGATCAAAATTGTTGATTATCGTATTTGAAGATGTTCAAGTCAAAACTAGTATTAGAAAGTAAATGAATGTTATTATGCAGTTTATATGTAAGCAAATAAATGTTATTTTTTTAAGAGCTAAACATAGACTTAACACGCCTTAACATTGCCGAATTCACAATAAATATGTACGCAAAAAGTAGGCAGTATTTCTAAAGCTTAAAGTGAATCTACACATGCATCAATGTATTCATTCACATAAAGCAAATTTATGTAACTTCAAGTCTTATATATGATTTTAAAACAATCCTTGATTCAATTCAGGCATTAAAATCGTCCAAGTGCTTTAAAACATTCAAATTTATCTAAAATAACCAAAATTTTAAAATTAATGCCCTCATATGCTTCGACCAATGTGTTAAACAATTGATCATAAAGTCTAAGAATACTGTGTGGATTAACTTTAAATCGAATTTAAAATATCGGCATATGCTCTGACTAATGTACTGAATGTCTTTAGCAAGTGGTTTGATAGTATTGCATGGGTTAAAGAAAACCTAAGCAAAGTTATATTTTTCTTGAAAGATGTGAAAAATTATATTGATGTCCAACATTTGAAATTAAATGTCTACGTCTGCTCTACCTTATGTGCTAAAAGCTTTAACAAACACCCTAGCAATGTTGAACCGGTTAGCAAAAAAATTAATTAATTTTTCTGTATGTGCTCCAACAAAAATGCTAAATGCTTTAAAAAATAGTCTGTAAATGTTGCGCGGCCTAGCAAAAAAAAATTAATTAATTCACTCATATGTGCTCCACCAAATAAACTTAGTGCTTAAACTTGAACAATCTTGTTAACCATAAGAGTAAATTTAGTTGGCACAAAGTCGTCAGCAAGCTAAAATTAACTTAGAGTTATCCCTTTAAATAAGCATCCACCACCCTAGATCTATAAAGTTATCTTTGACAGCCTAACCTATAGTTGTTGACAAAAATCTTTCAATCAGGTTGGGTCGATTACCTCATCTGACAGTAGATCAGAGACCGCAATGACTCAAAAAGACAAAACCATAGGATATTAATCGGATTTGTCACTATTTCTCCTTCCATAATAATTTAAACCCCTACGTTTGTTTTTATTAGTGCTTAATAACAAGCCTTTGTTATCAGAGCGGATAATTAACCATAGGGGTTTGTGACTAAGAAATCTCGAATCCCATATCTTAAAGTCTTCACAAAATAAGAGTAAAATCTCATAATAGTGTCTTATCTAATGTTTCACTTGCTTTCTGAAAATTTGACATGGAATAGCAAATAAAAAGCTCTGAAATAAAGTCTAAGTGTGAATTTTCGGAGCACACGAGATAGTCATAATTTCTTTATATATTCTTCTTCCTAAACTACAAAATTCCGAATCTCTTGCCACACTAACCATTGTACAATCTCAACAACTTCCCAACTAAAGAGTCAATTCAAGCACATAAGTTTGGCAGAGATGGATCAAGGGTTTGAGGGACGGAGAGGCAGGAAATAGGATAAATTTTTGCGTTTCTAGGGTTTAGGGAAGAGAAGGTTGAAAATGGGGATCTTTTAGGTATTAGTAAGATGAAAGATTCTTACGGAAAATATTTGGATTGTTTACACATTAGTGCAAATTATAGATTAAAAAGAATATTTCACTCATGATCATCATTCTCCCAGTTATGAATGACAGTTCCTTCGACAAGTCATGGGATTCGAACAACAGGTGCGAGTGTGTGGCTTTGTGCATTGGCTGTCAACTTCTCCATAAAATCAATAGAATATCTCAGGATGTGTAAATTAAATCAGTCAGGGAGTTAGTAATTACTAATATTTTATCGAGGGAGTATTAGGTCATATAATATTTATATAGCTACACAGAGAGAGCATGCCGTTATCAACCAAATGTGCCAAACAGTATCGCATTGTCCACCAAAAAAGTTCGTCTTTTTTCCATTTTCTTCATCATTTGTACACTGCTTTCCACAATAAATAGAAAAACTAAAACATTTATGGGTGGATAGAAGTAACTTCATCAGCTTGATGCGTCAAACCTATTGCATCTAATAGATAACTTCGAGCAGTTTTAGGTTTAATTTCTCTTCTACGGAATTTTAAATATTTATTCTATTTTTTCATTATGATGCAGGAAGAACGGGCACAATATTATTCTAACACTATAAATGCTAGAAGGATCCACTGATTTCAAAAAATAAGAAGAAAACTGATATACCCAAAAATGAGGTCAATCCATTCATGTAGATGTGCAGAAACGTGTTCACTCTCTAAAGCATTGCGATGCTTGTAAATGAAATCAACCGGATTGTTTGCCCATGGTGGTAGTTTAACACAATCTGCGGAAAATAAATAACATATTAGGTTTAACATATATTGTTAAGTACCATATTAAATCAGACAAGGGCGAACAAATGAATTCACCTTGGCTTCTCCCTAATTGGCTTATTCCAAAATCATAATTATTTTCGTTGGTTAGAATCTCAGGGAGGTAAAACAATTCTGGCACCTACAGAATATCAACATAAACAATCAAATGACAAATAAAAATTAACACATGAGAAGTCCAATCTAAAACTTACAGGAAGATAAGGCCAAACATCTTTATAGAATAACTGCTTAAGAAGTTCAGTTAACATATCATTAAACTTTGGAAAATACCTACCAATTCTTTCACATCACTCATGTCTTCCAGAACATTCTGCCATGAATGACCAATGTCATAAAACATTTGATCAGCATAGCCAGATCCACCTCCAAATTTGGTTGAAAGAGTTGTAAATGGTTCTATTCTGATTAAGAAATACAAGACCTGAAAAACGCCATAAATATCAGATGGAAAAAAAAATCAACCTTAAACACAAATCATAAACTACTTAATTGAAAACTGGAAAACTAGAATAATCTTAAAATCTTAAATATTAGAATGAGAAGAGAGAGGTGTAAAATTAAGAACTGTTATGATCGAAGTTATATTTTTGCTTTATGTAACTGAACTTCTTTATGTAAAAATTGATGGAGAAACAACTTGGCGCAGAGCAGGAGTCGCAGAACATGGGAACCCACAATCAAGGGATGTACCGGGACAAGTTCCTGTCCCGGCCAGCACTTGAAGTGGGAAATCCCCGCTATTTTGGCCATTACAGATCCTATGGGTCCTTAATTTCTATATTTTGAATTTTAGTTAGGATTTAATTTATGTCTTAGTATTAGCATATTGTTTTAGACCTGAATTGGAGACATTTTATTTTGGTTTATGTTATTTGGAGACTTATCTCCGTATTTCATCCTATTAAAAGAACAACGGCCTACTTTTCTTCATGTAGTAAATCTGTACCGCAAAGAGAACAGATAGTGGAACCTCCTCATGATCAGCACTTTGATATTTTGTGGTTCGCCCTGCTGTTTTCCAGCCGGAAAGCTGCTAAATGCTACTCCGGAATCTTATTTGCTGTCCAGCAGTTTTTCTCCATTCCTCAACCTGCGTCATCATTCCCACTTCCATCCCTAGTTCGGTTTCATTTGGTATAAATGCCCGACAAGCATTATTTTTTTAGAATTTTGTCCTTCCTCCTACCAAAAATTCGCCCTAACATCTACTACTACCATAACCAAAATCCTTGACCAACATTTGATCCAAAATCCTACATCCGCAAAACCTTGCTTGAGAGAAAAGAACACAATACCTCCAAGGAGAAACATGCAAAGAGGTCTCCTAGAGCTTACAATGAAACAAACACAAAGAAAGATCCTCTAATTGCAAGAGTAGTTTGTCATTGTTGGGAGGAGATAACCTAGAGAAGTCACAAATAGCCACAATGGCTACTCACTGAATCGAGAGGAGAAAGTAAATCTTTTTCCACCAAAAAGTTTCAAGTAATGAAGAACCAATACTCCAATGATTTGACATTAAATATCAGAGGTCGAGATTTAAAGGTGACGAGTGATTTCTCAGATATTTATAAACATTCGGATCTAGATGAATTCATCGTGTAGTTCCATAAAGTGGAAGAAGTTTTTTAAAACAAAGACATTCTCTGGGATACAAGAGTTAAATTAAGTCATCAAATCTAAAAAAAATACTTTCTTGTAGTGGGAGAACCTGAATTGTCTTCAATAGTGAGAAAGGAAGAGTGAGACCACCACATGGTCTAAAATGAAAAGGGACATGTACATATCTTCCCGTGTATTCATAAGACTCCATAATTTGATCAGATAGATTCTTTTGTGGAGGAGCATACATTCGAATTTGATCAACTGATGTTGAAATGTGAGTTGATAAAACCAAAGAAGCATAAACTGGTAAAATATCCTAGAGGATTGAAGTCATCTATTATAATGTGGTACTGCTGAAGTTGTACTGGACCCTACTTAATGTACATACTTTAACTTTGGAATTAGAGAAGTAGCAATGTCACTAAGTGACCACTACTCCTTCCAGACATAGCTCAACCCCAAGATCATATAACAAAAGTACCCCTCCCGAGAAGAAACTAGTACAAAGTGGAGAACACATAGAGACCACTAGCACTCAAATCCATCTCAGCCATAAAATACTTCAGGTGCAACGATTTCAGGCATTGTGTTTCATTGCCCAAACATAAAAGTGATATATTTCATTAAGCAAAGAACAATTAAAGAAATAGACAGTGATACGAGAGAAAATGAGGATGTCAGAGAAGAGTATTGATTTCGGCCAATGAGGAAGAAATGTTAGTTGTTTAATGGATCCTTCAGACTGAGCCCATGAGAGAGCAGCAATGGCTCCTTCACAATATCATTCAAGCTCATTGTACCGAGAAAAGAAAAGTTTGTAGTCTTATAATGGACAAAGAAAATTGTGAAAAATATGATATCTGCCTAAAGATTAATAAATTGAGTCGGACCATATCCATATAGCACACCCAACTTTACTTCCTATCTTGGTTGAAGAAAGCGAAAAACACAATTGACAAAAAATATCATGTGAAGTTCTCTATTGATGACAAATTCCACAAGCAGGTATGATGAGATGAGGTATCTATAAGTCTCGTCACATTCTTTTAGATCGTTCTTGGCAATACAATAATTGCAAATATGATGATGGTTACAAGAACACATTCTTTTACCAAAAAAATAAGTGCAATGTACTCTTACCATGAAAGGAGTCAAGGTAACAGGCGTTTATATAAAGTTTGAGAATATGGTGTTACGAAGTATCTTTTTATAGGCCTTGAGAGAAGGCAATGGGCTTGAGGAGCTAATATCAAACACAAGACAACCCCTGCTAATAGGGTTTCAAAACTTTTTGACCTATAGTCTACCCTCAAAGTTACCACTACTAAGGGAGGTCTAGCATGTCATTACTTCAAATAGAAAAGAGGTCCAACATGGAGCCTAAAGATAAAAGCTAAGTAACATACAAAAAAATGTGTTATGCTATGGGAGGCACCTTTTGAACCCTAGATGGGATAAAGTGATATATAGTGGTGGCCACCTTTTAAATCTATAAAGGCCTTCTCCAGAATTATATCAACCTAGTGAATAATTTTGGGTAAAAACTGACAAAGACATCAATTGCTTAAGTTGAGGAGCTTGTGAAACCCCCTTAAAAAAAATAAAATAAAGTTGAGCTATTAAACACTGAGGCTTCTTATTGTGTAAAAGTTAAAATTTCTTCTGAAACTCCAAAGTTAATGTGTTCATATGGGAGCACTCTCATAATGGGTGACCTCTTGATAAGTTACACAAATGGTACAAAATTTGTGAAGCCATTAATCCAAAGAAGACAAAAACTCAATGGCGAAAGTTCGAGCTGTTACAATGAATGGTATCAACTACTTGTAAATGCTACATGATCAAGGTCATTATTTTCTTTGAGGTGTTGAGTACTAATATGCCAATATCACCTATTGTGATGTACACAAATGCTTGCCAGAGCTCCAAAACCTAAAAAAGTTGCATAAATTACTATAAATATTTCATGTAAAAATTTCTTTAAAATGAACTTCACAATGTAATGGATGCGATTCAATTACTGATCTACGCACACCATGATCAATTATTCACTCACCATTATATATGAGGTATCTATTGTACAAAAAAGATGCATAAAACAAATTGATCAGAAGCAACATCTTAAAATCAAATTCTTCAAAGATTAGCTGCATGAATTTTATAAGAACAAAACCAGAATTAATTTAAAAATTAATCAAAAAGAATTAGATGATCCATAGGCCAAATAAACAAAAACTTACCTTCCCCATGAACAAGACAACTTCCATGCCCAAACTAAATGAATCACAAATCTTATGAAGCAAAGTTCATGGAGTGATAGAAGGTCAAGGTAGAGCAGATGAAGAGGTTGTTTATGAAGCATAGTGAAGTGGGGCTAGGGGCAGGGAAACCAGATGCCGCCAGCCCTTCCCCTATCTTTCTCTTTCAGTTTTTTTCTATGTGGAGTCTTATATATATATATATATATGTTGTTTTCTGAGATTTGAATGTTGTTTTCAGATTTTATGTGGAGTTTCCTCATCCCTTGCAAGGGTTGTATCCGACAAGCAGTGGTGCTTCGGTTGTATCTTGCTCTGAAATAGTGTTGTATCCTTCCCAATCTCCTCCCTACCATCCTCTAGTCGCTAAACTGCTTCCTCTCTACTTCGTTCTGCCCTCTAACAACCGCCGCACCCTTCCCTACTGGCTGTCCCCCCCCCGCCGCACCCTTCCCTACTGGCTGTCCAACTATCCGGTCACAAACCTGCATCAAGACGCCCCTTACCTGCAGCTATCCTAGTTATCCAGCCCGTCCCACCATCACCCAGCACCCCGTCACTTCCTTGCCGTCCCACTCCTTCAGCCCTCAAACCACCCACTAACTCCCTTCCCTACCTACCGTACAGCAAGCAACACTTCCCCTTCACTTTGTCGCTTCGCCGATGCCATTACCTCCCTCTAACAACCGCCGCACCCTTCCCTACCGGCTGTCCACCCATCCAGCCACAAACCTGCATCCAGACGCCCCTTACCAACAGCTACCCTTGTTATCCAGCCCGTCCCACCATCACCCAGCACCCCGTCACTTGCTTCCCTGCAGCCTTCCTTGCCGTCCCAGTCCTTCAGCCCTCAAACCGCCCACTAACTCCCTTCCCTACCTACCATACAGCAAGCAACATTTCCCCTTCCCTTTGCCGCTTCGCCGACGCCACCACCGCCCTTGGATCTTCTCTTACAACCCTATATGGAGGTTGTTGTTGTTGTGTCGTATCCCGTTTTGAGTTGTGTTGTAACCCTATGATCCCTTTGCTTAATAAAATTTTCTTTCATTTCCACTGTTTTGAACTCGTCACATCATTTGGTATCAGAGCTAGTATAGCCCTAACTCTAGTCCTATACTACACAAGAAATTTTTTTTTCTACCCTGAACCGCGATACCGATTGGAGCCTACACGAGAGGAGATGCAACGGGAGATCTGTCGTCTGCAACAAAGACTGGCAGATTTTGATGACGAGGCCCAAGGAGAGATTACCTTTACCGAGATCTGGAGAGTCGAAGAGGAGATAGGGACGAGGATCTGAATTCGTTCCAGAGAGAAGATCACAATGACAAGGAATACCAGCCACGCCGCTTTGAAGCGCAATATCAGAGAAGGTCGAGAGAAGAGGCCGTATACGAAGGCCAAAGAGACTTATATTAGGTTCAGTATTGTTGAATTGGACTGCCTACAGATTGAAACCCGCATAGTACGATGAGCTACAAGGACAGGTGCAAGATCTCATCGCGAGTGGACTGGTCAGAGAGCACCAACTCGTGTGTTATTCTCACTTTGATGG